GTAAAGATACCAGCTGTTTTGGCACCGGAAGCCAAGTGTACTACGCGGGTGTGGCGACTTTGCTGTAGCTTGCGCAGGAGGAAGTACCGCAACTGGATGTGCTTCTCTCTGCCCTCAGGTCGAGGCTCCTGACACAGGAGGATCATGGCCCCGTTGTCAGCGTACAGGACCGGGGCAGAGCTAGGCTGCTCACCTAAGTCTGTGAGCAAGAAAGTCAGCCAGCGGAGCTCCTGTGTCGCCATGGCACCAGCGTAAATCTCAGCCTCACAGCTAGACTGTGCAATAGACGACGAGCGAGTGGACCTCCACGAGATGGCGCTTGCACCAAGGCTAAAGCAGTAGCCCTGGGAGGACCTGAGCGTCTCAGCATCATCTGCCCACGAAGCGTCAGTGTGCCCAGTAAGGACCACTGGCCTGCGTCCTCCTAGCACTAGATCCATGCCCGATGTACTTGCTAGATATCGCAAAACCCAGCGGCCAACCTGTGCTGGGGTCGGTGTCTGCCTGTGGCCACAAAGCGAGCCAGGATGTTGAAAGGGTATGCGAGTTCTGGATGAGTGCAAGTCATCAAGTACATGAGACAATCCACCAACTCAGCGTACGGACCACTAGGGTCTACCAACTCCTTAGGGACTGGTACAGAGAGCTTGTGATCTATTGGCAGAGGTGTGGGCTGTGCTGAGGAGAACTGAAGACCGAACCTCTGAAGGACCTGGCGCACCAAGTGTGACTGCGTAAGAGTGATGGTGCGCGCTGCTCTGTCCCTGGAGATCTGCAGGCCATGGTAGCGGCGCAACTCTCCTAGGTCAGTGCAGGTGTGTCTCCTCAGTAGCTCGGCCTTCATTGAGGCCAATGCGACTCTGTCTGCAGTAGCGAAGATCAGATAGTCTACGTAGACAAGGATGTAGAGCAGGGTATGGCCTGAACGAACGAAGAGCGAAGGGTCTGCAGAGGATGGGAAGAACTACAGGTGAGCTAACATAGCACGAAGCGTGTCGTGCCACTCGCGCGGCGCCTACCGCAGACCGTAAACCGGGCGCCGGAGGAGCCACTCGATCCTAGGGGCGAAGGTGCCGTTGAAGCCTGACGAGCAATGCAGGTAGACCTGCTCATGCACTTTGCCATAAAGAAATGGTGTAGAGAAGTACAGGAACAGACGGGTCGGTAACGAGGGAGGCGAGGACCCGAGGAACAAGAGAACTAGCGGTACGAAGGAAATCAGATAGAGGAGGCGACGGGAGGAGGGGAGGACGAGATGCGTGGGAACGAAGCAACATAGGGTGAGAACGCTGAATAAGAGAGACACGGCGAGCACGAGAGGGACGGCGAGACCAGAAGTGGGACAGAGGCGTCGGGTCAGGAGACACAGGAGGAGACAAAGGAGGGAAATGAGGGGGGAAGCGAGCCGGAGACGAGTTTGGCGGAGGAAACACAGGGCCGTAGATAGGCGGGGGAGGCGGCGGTGGGGGAGGCACAGGTGGTTGGTCAGGGGAGGGAAGGCCGAGGAGGTGAAGGGCAGAGACCGGCGGCGATTGCTGCTGCTGCTCCTCGGCAACACCAGAACCTCCAGCTGCACCACGGCTACCTCCTGGACACTCCACGCCAACACCCCTAGAACGAGAACCCGCTCCAGCACCGGTGTCATCCCCAGGACCGCCAAGACAAGCCACAAAAGTAACCCAAGGACTAGCACCCCTAGAAATAGAAACCTCTCCAGTACCGGTGCCACCCTTAGGACAAGCACCCTCCTTAACGCCCACACCCCTAGAGCTTGCAGACCCCTGCGGCGGCGGCGACTGCGGCTGCTCCTGAGGTCGCGACGACGGCGTCGACGGCTGCTGCTGCGGCGGCAGAGGAGGAGACGCTGTGGCAGAGAGAGGCGGTGAAACCAAAGCCCCAGGGCCCCCAGAGTTAGCTGACTCATCTACCAGGACAACCGACGGGAGGGGAATGACGTGAGACACACCAGACGGGGCACGACGGTGAGGGAGCGGGGCGAGCGCTACCGGGGGAGTGGGGACCAGGAACATGGGCAGGGTAACCGGGAGACCTCGGTGGTAGAAGGAGACAGACTCGTCAAAAGTGACGTCACGGGAGTGAAAGAAGAGTAAGACAAAGGGGTAAAATTTCCAGTCAGACGCGTCTAGCGGGAAACCAAAGAAGACACAATGGACAGTGCAGGCAGTGAGCTTGTCTGTGCCAAAGGCACGAACGTAAGCGAGGCAGCTCCAGACGTAGAACGCAGACGCGTCACCAGGGGACCCGGTCCAGAGGAGGGTCGGCAAAGCCTGCGGCCGCTGGGAGTGCAGCCACAGGTTAAGCTGGTGAGCAGCGAACAGCCAGAGAAAATAGGGCACCGGCATGAATCATGGAGGTATGAGCCACCTCCATGACCAAGCCGATGCATTGCTCAGTGACCCCATTCTGCTGCGGAGGGTCCAGCGGGGTGTACGACTGAGTGACGCCCTCCGTACGACAGAACTGGCCGGAGCCGAACTCGCCGCCACGGTCGGAGTAAAGACGCAGCACAGGGAGGTCGCGGTGGACTCGCGCAGCTATGACCCACGGGATAAGAGCGGCAGGCACGTTGGCCTTCTGCTCCAAAGAAAACTCAATGGTGTAGCACGTGTAGTCGTCGACAAGCACTAGAAAGTAACATTCTCGACGCGGCCAAGGGACGGGGGCTGGCCCCCAGGCATCCAGGTGCAGGGTCTAAAGTGGAGCAGTGGTAGCGGGAATCGAGGACGAATGAGGAGCACAGCGGAGCCGGCCCTCGATGCAGGGTGCGCACGGCGGCGCAGGCGAGGGAGGGAGGGCAGGGAGCGACGCAGGGAGACCTAAGACAAGACTGTGCCAGGACATGTAACGCACACGTGGGAGTGCGGGGTGACCTAGGTGGTGGTGCCACAGAAGTGACAAGTGAGTGAGCGACCGACACGAGCAAGCCGCAGCGACCTGGGTAGACGCAGGCACTTGGGGGGACGCCCTCACCGAGGGGGACGCGGTGTCAAGCGTAAACAGGCTTGACACCGGGTCCCGGGGTAACGTGGTTAGGGGAACACCTGTGGTGGCCAAATAGACCGCGTACCACTCGTGTCCGGGGAACGTAGTGGTGATGCTGAGGTCTTGAAGACAGCCAACACCAACTAGGTTTCTGGAGAATGGGGGGATGTGCAGGCCTATAAGAGAGCCCGAGCGTACCGCCGGACAGGGAAGGGTGGAGGAACTACGGGCAACTAGTGGACTGGATGAGTGGTCTGCAAGCGCAACGGCAGCAGGGGCGGCAAGTGGCGTGAGCGCAGTGTGGTCGCGGAAGAAGCAAGTAGATGCTCCAGAGTCGAGCGTAAAAGAGAGCAAAGCGGTAGCGTCAGCTGGCGGAGGGGCTAGCGTGGAGCCTAGGCTAAACAGAACAGAAGGTCCTATGCCTGATGCAACAGGGGAGCCTAGATTACACACTTGAGGCACACCTACACTAGGCAACATATAGTAGTAAGTTCCGGTCACACTGGAGTCATCAACATACATGGCATACAACGCAGAGCAAATCTGATCCATGTCCATCTCTAAGACCAGCACACGGCGGCGTACCAGACTGGGCCAGTCGGGGAGGTCTGGCGCAGGGTCGAAGCAGAGACGAAAAAGGTCGTCGAGGCGGCGGAAGCAACGGGCGGCAGTGTGACTGGGACGGCCATACACAGTACAGCCAAAGGGGCCAGTCTGGAGCTGGTACTGACAGTGGTTCCTCGCCAAGCACAGGTCTCGACAATGAGCTGGTCAGTGCGCGGAGATGAGTGGCAAGATCAGCGACTGTGAGGAAGGATGCAAGATAGGGGAATAGCATGGGGGGGATCAGAAGGCAGGCAGAGGCAGAGGAATGAGTGGAATAGCGCGCGATGACTGCATCTAAGTACTCCTTCGCATTAGCGACAGCTGTAAAGCAGGGACGCTCAGACAGGGGGAGGGTGTGACTAATAGCAAGTTGCGCGACGGCGTCACGCGACTCCAGACAGCGTGAGCAAGCTCAGCAGTCGAAAATGCCTCATGTTCAGCAGTGGTGGGGGCGTCAGGGAGGGGAGCAGACGCGTCAGGGCGGGGTAGCTTACCATCAACATGAACAGCTAGGGAATGGCCGTCCTGGCGCTGACCTGTCAGCTGGCGGCGAAGGTCGATGAGCCATGCCTCAAAGTCGATCGCCCGACCCTCCGCGTCCAGGCGGAGCACAGCGTCTACCATCCTACGAGTTCAGTTGGTGACGATTCCTCGTGCTAGGCACTTAATCTTCGCCAAAGCCGCAAGTGGTTTCGCAACTTTCAAAACGCAACTCAATGCACCGCAAGTGGTTTCACATGGCCTCTCTTTCTTAGGCATGGCGGACTAGCAGGCACGTAGTCGTTAGGGCGTTGTGCCTACGGCTCGGACGACCCAATCCCGGAACTGAGTTCCGAAGTTCCACGAGTCCGAACCAGACAAGTCTAGTAGAGTTCCGAACACCCCTGTGTCGGGACATGAAAGTCTGGTACCTTCCGTCCGAGACGAATGTCCCAAAATTCACCTTTTTTTTAGTCAGACCGACATGACGAAATAGGACGAAAGTATACGAAACCAAGTTCAAGAGCGAAAATACCCCAACCGCCATCTCTACCAACAACAGCGCGAATTGTCGCCATAGCGCTGGGCAAAAAAAAAAAACTGTGTTCCCCACTTACAGTGTTCGCCTTGTCGCCCGGGCACGGAAAAGTTTCGAAAATGACGAATTTCAAAGACGGACGTTCGGATCGGGCGCTCCGTCCGGATGGAGGGTACCACACCTTGATCGGACGGACGGGGTGTTGGGGACATGGTTGGCGAACTCATGCGCGAGTACTGGCGAAATTTATTACCCTTTTCATTTACGGACGGAACTCTGTTCCTAAACCTTAAGCACCACGCCCTCAGGTGAGCAATTTTCTCTCAGCGAGCTATGGAGGTTTCCAGTGTTGAGGGTGGAGTTATGGAGCTGATGATAATCGATGTCTGCTTCCTAGGGTTGTGCCAGCAGCAGCTGCGCCTTTCCCAGTGTAAGGGCCACCTAGTTCAAGCCAGACTTAGTAAGCAACTGATCTTAACCTAAACCTACACACGATGCCGGTTGGTTCGCCGATCCAACGGCTCTCCGACGACCTGCTCGCCAAGATCTTCAATCTCCTCGCTAGATCCGATGGCCAGCTGAAGCACGCTAGCGTCTGCAAGCAATGGCACGGCATGGCGTGTCGCGTGCAGGACCGCGTCTGCTTGACCGCAAGCCGCCACGTGGATCCTCGTCAGCTGATTCCGCAGCTCTCGCGGTTCGTCAATCTCAGAAAGCTCGTCCTCTCCGCCGGCAGCCTGCCGGCCGTCCCTGATGCCCTCCTCTCGTGTGTCGCCGACACGTGTCACGATCTCATTGAGCTTCGCATCAACTCACCTGAGTCCGACTCGCATGAGTGGGACTCTTTGGATCAAATCGACAGTCCTGAGAATTTCACCGAGTGCGGCCTTTCCTCGCTGTTCGCCAAGTGCACTCGCCTGGAGGATCTTCATCTGCGTTGCCCGAAGCATCTCGCCGCCATTCCTCCCTCCATCGACTGCCTCGCTTCGCTCACGAACCTGCACCTTGTCGCGAGAAGGGTCAAGCTGCTTCCCGATACATTCTCCTCGTTACAGTCACTCCAACGCCTCGTTCTCATCATGCCGAAGCTGAAAAATCTTCCTCGAAATTTCAAGAACCTCGTCCTTCTGAAGTCGCTGCAGCTTGATGACTGTGGCTCCCTGAAATCAATCCCGGAATTTATTGGGCAACTTGCAAGTGTAGACCGTCTCTCCATCAGTGGCTGCAGAGAGCTGCGACTACCTGATTCTCTCACCAACCTCTCGTCTTTGGTGGCTCTGGAGATTCGCGCATGCCGTGACCCTCTCCCACTGCCCGCGAATTTCGGCCAGCTTCACGCGCTCGAAAGTTTACTGCTGGAGGATATAGCTGGAATGCCCAACCTGCCCGAATCTCTCGGGCAGCTGCAGCGCCTGAAGCGACTTTCCCTGAATAGATGCAGCGGCATTTCGTCTCTGCCTCGTTCTCTTCCCCGTCTTCCTTCCCTCGCGGATCTCAACCTGTTCGCCCCGAACCTTTCCGTGCTGCCCGCCGAAATCGGGCAGTTATCAGAGCTTCGGACTTTCTCGCTGACCAATGCGGATGTTCCAAGCCTCCCAGATTCCATCTCTCAGGCCACGGCACTCCAAGAGCTGTCGTTAGAAAATCTCAGGGATTTGACTTCTCTGCCCGAGGAATTCGGGCAGCTGGCCTCTCTAGAGACTCTCCACCTGAATGGGCTTCCCCAGCTGACCCACCTGCCCGAGTCATTCGGACACCTGACCAAGCTTCGTACGCTGCGAATCATGGCGTGCTATCAGCTGCAGCAGCTGCCTGATTCCGTATCCGCGCTATTGGCCCTTCAAGACTTGGACCTGAGACACTCCTGGAGGCTCACTGCGCTACCAGTAGGCATGGGGAACGGCCTGCCCAATCTGCGCAAGTTAGAGCTGCACCACTGCAAGGCCCTCACCCGCCTCCCCCCATCCTTCTCCGGCCTCTCGTCCCTCGAATCCCTCAGCATCCTGCAAGCAGGGAGCTTCAGAGGCGCCTTACCGGAGGGCTTTGGCCGCTTGGGGAAGCTGAGGGAGCTGTCTCTTCGAGCCATGCCGCACCTGACTGCGCTTCCTGCCTCCGTTTCCGGCCTTCTCGCCCTCACCAGCCTGCTTCTGGTAAATTGCCCGGGGGTTAAAGCGCTGCCTGGGGATATCGGACGGCTGGGGTCACTCGAAGAGCTGAAGATCTCGAAGCTGGACGGCTTGGATTCGTTCCCCCGGTCGCTGGTTGAGCTGCCCCGGCTGCGGGTGCTGGAGGTTCGGATGTGCTCTGAGCTGCTCACTCTGCTAGGGGATGAAACCGTCGAAGATCTCGAGCAGGGCCAGGGAACAGGTGCTGCTAGCAGCACCTTGGGTGCCAGCAGCAACAGGAGCAGCAGTAGCAGCAGCAGCAGGGACACCACTACCACCACCACCACCCACAGCAGTGGCAATCATGGCAGGAGTGTCAACGGTGCACTGCTCCCATCCCTGCTCAGTCTAAAGGCTGAACAATTTTTTTTCAGGTCCTTCGGTCCATCCCTCGGCTGCCTCTCGTCCCTCACAAGGATGGAGCTCCTGCAGATGGGAGAACTGCTCTCCCTCCCTGACTCCATCTCTGGGCTTTCACAGCTGCAAGTGCTTCGGATCTTTAACTCCATAAAACTGAAATCGCTTCCGGAAACCCTTGGAGGTCTCTCCTGCCTTCGTGCCCTGGAGCTTGTTGGCCTGCACGGTTTGCACGAGCTGCCCGAGGCTTTCGGGCAGCTGACGCAGCTCGAGACGGTGAAAATCATCATGTGTACCAACATCTCCAGGCTTCCAGCATCCTTTTCCAATCTGTCAAAGCTGCAGCACTGCTCGCTTGACAACGTGGGGATCTCGGGCATTCCAGATGATTTCTGGAGGCTCTCCTCCCTCCAGACCTTGGTGCTTCTGTGCCTGCAGAATCTTTGCAGCTTGCCGGAAAGTTTTTCGCAGCTGCCCCGGCTGAAGGCGTTGGAGCTGTGCCACTGTAGGAAGCTGTCTCAGGTGCCGCCTTCCCTGGGGGAAATGCCAACATTGAGTGAGTGTGTGATTCTAGAGTGTCCTCTGCTTCCAAATTGAGGCACCAAGGTGAGCTGCGGAAGGGAAGGAGGAAAGGAAAGAGTGAAGGAGGGAGACAGAGGGAGAATATTAGGACGACGAGGATGAGGGAGTGTATGATGAAGAGGATGAGGGAGAGGGTGAGGGGTATGTGCAGTTGGGTGAGCGAATGGAGTATAGTGAAGAAGAAGAAGAGGAGGATGAAGAAGAAGAAGAGGACGAAGAAGAGGAGGATGAAGAGGAGGAAGAAGGCGACGAGGAGGATGACCAAGATGAGGAGGAGGATGAAAGGGGAGGAGGAAATCCAAGAGAGCTAGGAAGAAGAGGATGGTGCGGTTGGGAATGGGGAAGGTGGGAAGGGAGAAAATTGAGGAAGCAGGGAGATGGCAGCAATGGCAGCAAGGGCAGCAATGTGCAGCAGTAATGGCAGCAATGGGCAGCAGTAATGGCAGCAATGGGCACCATTAATGGCAGCAATGGGCAGCAGCAATGGCAGCAGCAGTGGCGGTGGCAGTGGCGGCGGTGGTGGCGGCAGCAGCAGCAGTGTCCGGGTTGAGCTGCTGCCATCCCGTTAGAGTCCTGCAATCGCTGGGTCTTCCTCTTCCCACCGACAGGTCTTCCTCTCGAATCGTCGGGTCCATCCTTTGGCCAGTTATCCTCCCCCCACACACACGTACTTCCCTCCATGGACGAACTCCTACCCGCTCTTCCTGATCTGATCTCTAGACTCACAAGTACCCAATTGAAGCACTCCCAGAAACTTTCAGGATGCTTTCAGCCCTCACGGCACGTGAACTCAAATGCCTCCACAGTTTCCATGACCTGCCCGGATCGTTTGGGCTTGTGAAGAAGCTCAAGTCGCTGAGAATCACATAATGCCCTGGGATGAATGAGTGGGAGGTGAGGTTGTATGAGGGAGGAGGATAAGGAGCGAGGGTGTGGGAGTGTGCGGTTGAAGGGAAAGTTTCGAGAGTGTTACAGTAGCTTGTGTTAAAATTATATAAGTTATCATTTATGGGCTTGGTAGACTATTACTGAATACTGCTGTAGAGGGTACAACAGCCCTTCTTGTATGCCTCTGTCTTCTTTTCAATCGCCCTTTTCTTTTCGACATTTCTCCTCACTAACGTTTCCTAGATCTACTTTCCTCCCACCGTTCCATGTGTTAAAATTATCTACGTTATAATTTATATAGGCTTGGTAGGTTGTTACTGAACCTTTCTGTAGAGGGTACAAACCCCTCCTTGTATGCCTCTCTCTTACTACTCCAACCCCTTTTTCTCTCGACACTTTTCCTACCCTCCTAGCTAAACCCCGCCGCCACATTCATGGCGGCCTTTACTGCCTTCTAGCCTAGACTAGCTCTTTGACACCATGGTGTCATTCCTAGCTAAGCTAGTGTCCTAACTTTAGAAACCTAGACTCCTAAGTTTCTGAGATGGTATCAGAGCCGTCCGCTCCTAGCGGGCCTGCTCCTCACGCTTCCGCCGCGCTTTCCTCTCCTATTCCTCACGCTGCCATGGCGGCCGTGGCGGCGTCACGCTGTGGCGGCGTCGTCTTGTTGCCAGCTGCGACGTCCTGCCGCGGCCGTCTCGACACGCAACCGTGGCGTCGCGCTGACGTCGTCTCGGTCGTGTCGTACCGCCACGACCGTCTCGTCGTGCTGCTGTGGCGACATGCGGCCAGCGCTCGGCCTTAGCGCTGGCCAGCACACACGCACTTTGTCGTGCCACACCTGTTCTGCTGCAGCCCTGCCCCTGTCCCCTGCATTCCCTCTTACTCGCCGCAGCCGATGGCTGCCTTGCACCGGCCGTCCCACCGTTGCGGAACCTGGCCACGCCGCCGAGTGGGGCGAGCGCCGCCGCCGCCGCTGTTGCCGCTGGCCTACTTGCCGCCGCACGCCGCCGCCGCCGCTGCTGTCGTCACTGCCGCCGCCGCCGTCGTCGCCACCGCACCCTCGTAGCTGTTGTCGCCGCCCCGCCCGTGGAGAGGTCTACCGGGTTGTCAACAGCTGCTGCTGCTGCAGGGTAGTGGGGTGCTAGGTTAGGGGGTGTGTGTGTGTGGTGTAGGTGTGTGTGGGCTTGACACTACCAAGCCTAGGGGGTGTATTAAAATTATATAAGTTATAATTTATAGGCTTGGTAGACTATTACTGAATACTGCTGTAGAGGGTACAACAGCCCTTCTTGTATGCCTCTGTCTTCTTTTCAATCCCCCTTTTCTTCTCGACATTTCTCCTCACTACTCACGTTTCCTAGATCTACTTTCCTCCCACCGTTCCATGGCGTCATTCCTAGCTAAGCTAGTGTCCTAACTTTAGGAACCTAGACTCCTAAATTTCTGAGAGCTTGAACCTTCTGTGGTACGTTAGTTGTGGGGAAAATACATCGGCGCTCAATATTAGGAGCCTGGATAACATGTACGGTCACTGACATGATATAAACAATCAGAATTAGCGAGTTCGTAACATGTTTCATCAGTCGGGTTCCACCGTTAGTCAGAAACTACAAGAAAAAAGTGTTAGAAGGCTAGCTTAGCAAGAAGCTAGGAAAGGCATGAGGTTTAGCTAGGAGGAGCCATGGAGTGGCGTGAGGTTTAGGAAGGAGAAACGTTGAGGAGAGAAAAGAGTATCGGAATAGAAGAGAGAGGGATACAAGGAGGGGTGTTGTACCCTCTACAGTAAAGTTCAGTAAGACTACCAAGCCTATATTTATATACTAACATATATAATTTAACAAAAACCTGCACGAATGGTCAGTAGAAGTAACCCTCGACCGTTTCGGAACGTTTTCCCGCCCGCGCCAGCCCAATTTCGTCATCATTGTGGCTGGCACGATAAGTTTCTCAAGCTCCAGGTGCAGTTCGAGAGAACTACGTAAAGTATTTCCAAATTAAAAATCGTTTGACGTCGCGTACACAAAATTCCAAAATTGAGACCTCGTGCATTTTGTCATAAGCTAATTGGGCCACAGCAGGCCGCAGATCGGGTGCGACATTGTTCAAACATTAACAAACGCAAAGATAAAAAAAAAAAAAAAAAAAAAAATTGACACGAAAGGGAAAATCTATCCGGGATGGGCGCTAAGCCAATGAGGCGTGAAAAAATAAAATGTCGTGCGCGTTGTCGAGTGACCCACTGGGTTACCCTTGAAAAGATCCTCGGGGAAGGGCCACAGGTGCAGAGCCTGGGGGGCTATGGGCGCACTTACCCGCTATTCAATAAGCCCTATTAACCTAGTGGTTAGTGACTGGGTTTCTGACATGGTACATCAGAGCCAAAGGTCTTGGGTTTAGTCCCAGTGCCAGCGGTGCAGAGGCGCTCGTGTCTTCGACCTATCCCAGCGAGGGGGGGTGTCAAGTGACCCGCTGGGTTACCCTTGAAAAGATCCTCGGGGAAGGGCCACAGGTGCAGAGCCTGGGTGGCTATGGGCGCACTTACCTGCTATTCAACACGCAACTTTAACCCAGTGGTTAGTGACTGGGTTTCTGACACGCGTGCGCTAATTTGTTTCGAGCATGACAAGACCTGTAGACTCGAAATTCCACAGAAAACTTTTCCGGTAAATACATTTGTTGAAAAAATCAAAAGACAACGAGCAGACTTCTAATAGATTCGTTTATCAAAAAAAATAATTGAACTAGAATGTGTGAGTACAAGGGTATATAGACTAGGGTGTTGTACCCTCTAAGGCACAATGCAGTATAGTCTACAGTAACAACCTAAATTATATTTGCACACCCCCTAGACTATATAGGGGCAGTGTCTAACAGGGAAAGAAGCAGCTCAGGGCAGCACTACAAGTCCAGCCTCTGAGGCAAGGGTCTAAAGACCAGTCAAAGTAGTACAGACAAGACAAGAGCAAGACCAGGGCGGCACTACTAGTCCAACCACTGGGAGTGGCTACAAGGCCAGTCAAGGTAAAATATATATATAAAGGACAGTACAAAGTCAAGGCCCTAGCAAGTGAGAGGCTATAGGAACGAGACCTAGCTGTACACAGTGTCGCTGATGATCTTTACGCGCAAGCGCCTTCGTAAAGTTATCAGCTGTGTTGGCACCGGAGGCCAAGTGTACTACGCGAGCCTGGCGGCGCTGCAGTAGCTCACGTAGGAGGAAGTACCGCAGCTGGATGTGCTTCGCTCTGCCCTCGAGTCGAGGCTCCTGACACATGAGGATCATGGCCCTGTTGTCAGCGTACAGGACCGGGGCAGAGCTAGGCCGCTCACCAAAGTCAGTGAGCAAGAAGGTCAGCCAGCGGAGCTCCTGTGCCGCCATGGCACCGGCGTAGATCTCGGCCTCACAGGTGGACTGGGCAACAGACGAGGAGCGGGTAGCTGTCCACGAGACGGCACCTGAACCAAGGCTAAAGCAGTAGCCCTGTAAGGACCTGAGGGTCTCAGCGTCGTCTGCCCAAGAAGCGTCTGTGTGTCCAGTAAGGACCACTGGCCTGCGTCCTCCTAGAACTAACCCCATGCCCGATGTACTTGCAAGATAACGCAAAACCCTCTTAGCGGCTAACCAGTGCTAAGGTCGGTGTCCGCCTGTAGCCACAAAGCGAGCCAGGATGCTGAGAGGGTATGCGAGATCTGGGCGAGTGCAAGTCATCAGGTACATGAGGCAACCCACCAGCTCTGCGTAAGGGCCACTGGGCTCTACTGACTCCTCAGGAACTGGAGCGGAGAGCCTGTGGTCTAGAGGCAGAGGAGTGGGCTGTGCAGAGGAGAACTGAAGGCCGAACCTCTGAAGGACATGGCGCACCAAGTGTGACTGAGTCAAAGTGATGGTGCACGCGGCTCTGTCCCTGGAGATCAGCAAGCCAAGGTAGTGGCGCATTTCTCCAAGGTCAGTGCAAGTGTGTCTCTTCAGCAACTCTGCCTTTACGGAGGCCAGTGCGTCCGTGTCTGCTGTGGCGAAGACCACGTTGTCTACGTAAACAAGGATGTAGAACGGGGTCTGGCCAGCACGAACGAAGACCGAGGGGTCTGTAGAGGATGGAAAGAACTGCAGATCAGCAAGCGTAGCACGCAGCGTGTCGTGCCACTCACGGGGAGCCTGCCGCAGGCCGTAGACGGGACGCCGCAGGAGCCACTGGGTCCCAGGAGGGAAGGTACCAGTGAAGCCCTGAGGGCGGCGCAGATAGACCTGCTCGTGTAGACTGCCCTGAAGAAACGCAGTGGAGAAGTCGAGGGAGTGAAGCTCGTAGTCACGCTGAGCTGCTACGTGTAGCAAAATCCGAAGAGAAGTCATCTTCGGGGTCGGAGCGAACGTATAGAAGAAGTCCACCCCCTCACGCTGACTGAAACCTCTAGCCACGTAGCGCGCCTTGAACACAGGCGGCTCTCCAGGAGGGCGCTTCACCTTGAAGAGCCAGCGTCCATCGACTACGTTCACCCCTGGTGGGGGAACTGCGTCGACATAGGTGCCGGTGGATCTCCAAGATCGTGGTGGAACTGCGAGCGACTACTGGGCCGGAGGAGGAGTCAGCAAGAGAGACTGCGGCAGGGACAGCAAGCGGTGTCAACGTGGTGGAGTCGCGAAAGAAGCACCGGGAAGCGCCAGAGTCGAGGGTGATGGAGAGCGCGGTAGTGGCGGCCGAAGGCGAAGCAGTGACGGAAGCACCAAGGCTAAACAAAGCAGGGGATCCTACGCCTGACGCAGCAGGGGAGTCTAAGCAAGGCACACCTACACTAGGCAACAAGGGGTAATAAGACGAAAGCACACTAGAGTCATCAGCATACATCACATGCAGAGCAGTAACAATCTCATCCATATCCAGATAAAAAATATGAACCCTACGACGAAACAAACTGTGCCAGTATGAGAGCTAGGGCGACGGGCCGAAACGCTGATGAAACAGGTTGTCCAGGCGACAGAAACAGCGGATGGAGGTGTGACCGATCTTACGGCAAACGAAGCCACGGCGAGGACTGATCTGGAGCAGGTACTGACAGCGCGCGTCACCGGAACCACCACCCGGCAGCCCACCACGCGCACCACCACCACGTCCAGCGCTACCACCAGCGCTAGGCCACCCGGGCGGGAGACCACTCGCCTGTCTCTGCTGCGGCTACGACTGTTGCGACTGCTGCGGCTGACCCGAGTCCGGCTG